CCGTCATCAGTTCCAGCCCTGCCCTGCTCCTCAGGGTCCTCCCCGTATCCCGTCGTCAGTTCCATCCCTGCCCTGCTCCTCAGGGTCCCTCCTGTCTCCCTTTACCAGCTCCAGCCCTGTCCTGCTCCTCAGGGTTCTCTCTGTCCTCAACTCCAGCCCTGTCCTGCTCCTCAGTGTCCCCCCCTGTCCCCAGCTCCATCCCTGTCTTGCCCCTCAGGGTCCTCCCCGTACCCCATCATCAGTTCCAGCCCTGTACTGCTCCTCAGGGTCCTCCCTGTCCCCTGTCCTCAGCTCCATCCCTGTCCTGCTCCTCAGGGTCCCCCATTGCCCCCAGCTCCATCCCTGTCTTGCTCCTCAGGGTCCCCCCCTGTCCCCTGTCCCCAACTCCATCCCTGTCCTGCTCCTCAGTGTCCCTCCTGTCCCCTCCATCCCTGTCCCCACCCTGTCCTTTTTATCTGCATCATTCCCATCCTCTCCGTTCCATGCCTGCTCCACCCTTGTCCCCTGTCCCCATCCCTGTCTCCTCCATGGTTGCTCCATCCTTGTCCTCATCTTGTCCTCGTTCCCTCCATCCTATTCCCTCTTTTCTCCATCCCTGTCCCACCCTTGTCCCCATCCTGTCTCCATCTCCTCCATCCCTGTCTCTCTCTCCACCCCATCCTTATCTCCACCGTGTTCCCTCCTTGGCTGGGGGTCCCCAGGGTCCCCCAGGACGGGATGCACAGACCCAGGAGCCCCCCAGCCCCTTCAGCGTGGGGTGCAGAGAGCCAGGATCCCCCCCAGGACAGGATGCACAGACCCAGGGGATCTCTCAGCATCCCCAGTGTGGGATTCACAGACCCAGGGCCCCCCAGCTTCCCCCCAGAACAGGACACACAGACCCAGGGGATCTCCCAGCCCCCCAGAACAGGACACACAGACCCAAGGGGTCTCCCAGTCCCCCCAGGGTGGGGTTCACAGCCCCAGAGGATCTCCCAGCCCCCCTAGAACAGGACACACAGACCCAAGGGATCTCCCAGCCCTCCCAGGGACAGGACACACAGACCTAGGAGCCCCCCAGGAAAGGATGCACAGACCCAGGGGATCTCTCAGCCCCCCCAGAACAGGACACACAGACCCAGGGGGTCTTCCAGCCCCCCCGGGTGGGATTCACAGATCCAGGAGCCCCCTCAGCCCCCCCAGGGTGGGATTCACAGACCCAGGGGATCTCCCAGCCCCCCCAGGGTGGGGTTCACAGCCCCAGGGTGGGGTGCACAGCCCCAGGGTCCCCCAAGGCTCCCCCAGGAGGACTCACTGACGATCTTGTCGACCGAGTCGTGGTCGTCGAAGGTGACGAAGGCGAAGCCGCGCTTCTTGCCGCTGCCGCGGTCGGTCATGATCTCGATGACCTCGATCTTGCCGTACTGCCCGAAATAGTCCCGCAGGTGATGCTCCTCCGTGTCCTCCTTGATGCCCCCCACGAAGATCTTCTTCACCGTCAGGTGGGCGCCGGGCCGCTGGGAGTCCTGGGAGGGGGAAAAAAATCAGGGAATGGGGCGGGTGGGAAAGCTCGGAGGACACCCCGGAACCGTGGGGGGCACCGGGGCTTTGGGAGGTGTCACCAAGTGCCACCGGGATTTTAGTGATCTCAGGATTTTAGGGACATCCTGGATATATCCCCAAGGGCCACCAGGATTTTGGTGGTCTCAGGATTTTAGGGATGCCCTGGAGGTGTCCCCAAGGGCCGCAGGGATTTTGGTGACTGCAGGGAACACCAGGGTTTTAGTGACCCAAGATTTTTGGTGGCCTCAG